GTTTTTTGTGGAAGATGCAGTGTTATGGTTTTCTATTTTAGATTACTTTGCCCAGATGAGTAATATTTGAGTGATATTACAGTGATTTCAATGTGCATTCAAGCCATCTGTCACGAAAACACCCACTTCACCAAAACCACCACAGGATGAATTAATCAAAAGGTAACAACAACAAAAAACAACATATCTTCATCAGATCTCTGCTTCGGATTTGATTGATCCCCAGAACATTTTAATAACTTATAACACATTCATGAAAACGGCAAAGGAGGTGGTGAAATATAAATATCCGCCAGCATACCAAAAAACAATCGTCATTACTTTGCTTTAGCTCAGACTAGCTTCTCACCTCCTATCGTCACTGTGGATTGTTCACTGATGAAGTGCTCTCTGGACAATGCAGCTGGAATGCACTTTGTTATTGATTTCCCCCCCCGATAGGAGCCTATTAAAAGAGGGGTAAACACACTAACTGAAGAATGGTGCTATCATTCCTTTAGCCAGACACATTTGTCTGAAGAGAAACCCAGTTTGTATTGTTCACATGCTGTATTGTAGCTTAAGGCCTTTCTCGGTCCGCAAAGAATTTGTACGTGTTTCACGTGTAGCAGCCATAACGTTGTGATGTCAGAGCTGATGTCATTAGGACGGGACACTGGTACAGCGGGGGGATCGAGTGGCGTCACCTGAATCAAGTCACCTGGCTCCCTGTGTGTGGCTTTACCAAAGGATGGTCGCCCCCTTCTTTCTCACCGGGGGTTTTCATTCACAGACAAAAAAGATCACAGGTCAATAATGGTCATCACTCACAAACTTGCTCGGTCAAAGCCCCCCGAGAAGAAATCAAGAGGGGGGACGCTTGTAGAGAAAAGCAATGTGTGACGCTCTTTTTTTAATCTCTTTTTAAGCTTAAAAGAAGTGCAGCTGTCACCTCAATGTGAACTCTTTTGAATCTCTCTTGTTTGCTGATGGATGGATGGATGGATGGAGGGGACAATCCCACCACTAGACGCTACAAGGGGAACTCCCTGTGAGATTGACAATTTCAGGACAGAATGGCCCATGGACCGGAACTCTGTGGTTTTTCCACACCACAATAAAACAATCAAAAATCCTGAGAAGGGTGACCTCTTTCACATCCGTGTGCTTTGTATGTTGTGCAGTGGTGAACACATTCTCAACTTGTTCATTTCAGATTTGACCTCCACTCCTCTCGACACCTTTTGTCTGCGCTCGCAGCTACACGGAGGACTGTAGCTCCAGCGACGTCTGCTAAACTAGAGAAAACGGATACTGTAGCGTGGACTCAAAACAAACAATGTTGCACTGATAAATATATTTAAGAGGTTTATGTGTTTATAGCATTTCTTTGCAAAAAAAACCCAGAAGAAAGTCAAAAACACAAAAAACATGTGTTCATTTCTTTCCTCTTTTTTATAAATCTATATATATAGTTTCAGATTATGTGATATAATTCTGAAATGTAAAAAATATTATGATGTTTTCATTATTGAAAAAGGCATAAAAGATTTCCCAACATTAATGTCCCTCCCTCCATTTACATGGCATATTAGCGCTTCGTTTTGTACTGTCATTCAAATTTTGTGCAGATTTTTGTTCGGTTTTTTACAAGAACAAGAAAATAAGACTTTTATTTTCAATACTGCTTCTGTAATTTGCTGTTGTAGGAAAAAATGAATAAACAGCAAAGCCTTAAAAAAAAAAGAGAAAAAAAGATATTTGTTTTGTGAAACTCCAACTTTAGATCCTCTCAGATCCACATCAGAGCTGTTAAGGTTTTAACCAGCAGCTCTCTGAAGGACCATCTGTTTTCTGCATGAAAGTAGCTTGAATTACAGCAAGACACTGATATAAACAAAACCATGGTGCCCAGGTTTTTCTTACAACCTAGGACTTCTAAGACTAAAACGAAAAAGAATCTTCATACGTAGGAATTTGAACATTTACTTACGATTAACAGTTGTTGCGGGAGATCTAAGATAAAATGCAACTGATTCTGACAGCAAGTAATAAATAGGGACTATATTTTCCTAGATCTCAGAGCAGATGGAAACAACTCAAGTGAAGTATGTCATTATTACCCACCTATTAGTAAACAGCGGTAAACTGATGGAGCGTAGGGCGGGCACTGACCACTAATTTGAACCTGATGTGAGCCACTCAGTCGCTCTGACTCGCTCAGCTGCTTTTCTAGAGGTCTATCATTAGCAGAAATTAAACCAGTCTCCACTGATTTACGTTTCCTATGAGGAGGTATCCATAAGTGTTGCAGTGTCTTACTTTAGCAGACTTGGAATATTGGCAATTATTTGTGATGCTTAATGTCTTTAAACATTGGTACATGTTAGATAAATAGCAGCAATGCTTACTCCCTATTAACATAAACAAGCAAATTAGACTTGTAACATCATTGTGCGGCATATTCTTCGTGCACCATTAACTGCAAGAGATTTGTTACTCAGCCACCCCACTAAATCCTTTTTTTAACCTCTTTTAATACTGCCTGAAGCAAGCATCATACATTAATTAATAAACCAGTCAACCAATGAAGAAACCAAGAATTATCAACATTTATTCTTACAAAGAATACAGACAAAGTTTTAAAGAAATACTATTCAGTAACTGTCAGTGGTGTATGACTGTAAACTCATGCAATATTTTGCAAATTAGCACTACCCCTTTCTAATAAGTTGCCCTGTACTGCATTCATGTACTTTGCTACTTTGTACTTCTACTTGACTATACAATTCAGAGGTAAATCATGCACTTTTACTCGACTACATTTATTTACAGATGTGGAGTAATGATGTGAAATATAAACAACTCTTAAATCAGACTTTAGTTCCACCTGGAGTAAATTATGTATAATTATGTATGCAAAGTCTTTAAAACTCATTAAAACATATCATATATATTAAACTGGAATGGATCAATCTGCAGAATTAGTACATTTGCTTTTGGTACTTTAATTATATTTGTATACTTTGAATGCAGGACTTTAATTGTAACAGAGCATCCATACACCCTGGTACTTCTACTTTTACTTAATGTTATAATAAGACTGCCACAGGGACCACACACGATTTTAACTTCTATTGGAGTACTTGTTATCTTTGTACGTGTACTTAAGTAAAATATGTGTTAACTACCTCCACCATTGAATTGAACACAGCACCCCTGACTGCTGTGAACTCTGCCTGCAGTCTACCGTTCCACCACTAGATGGCACACTGGAGTATTAGAACAAGGTAGGAATGTCTAACGGGCGGGTAGTTGGACTTACTATATTTAACACAACATTTCTACAAAAGTCTCACTCGTTTTCCCCCGGACAAGTCACATAGTTTGCTAAATAAAGAGTTCTCATGACACAAAATGCATTTATGCCATATAAAGTCTACCAGTGCGTGTGGATGGTTATTTTTATTGGTTTACATCCGGTCAAATGTAACAGTACATCACACGTAGCCTATACATAATTGAATTAATGATCACTGATTTCACTTCATAAAAAATACCTATTATTATGTTGCCATGACAATGAAAGTTGTTTGTTCTGAATGTTAAGGAAACAGGATTTTGGGATGCTATGAAAGGAAAAACAAGAAAGTGTAAAGGAAATATTATTGCATTTTGCTTTTAGCTGTTTGTCTCATGAGGTGACCAAAACTGACCACAAGGGAGCGCCAGAGCTCATGGAACTACTAACGTGTATACAGCAGTCTATGGTATACAGTCACACAGTGGTAATGAACACTTTAAATCACTGATAAGAAAGATAGAACGTTTAAGATAGAAAAATAGGAGGATTGTTACTGTTTTTATCTGTAAAGAGGACTTACCATCAATAAACAGTTTTACATTTGACCAACATTTTTAGTTGGAGGAGATCACTTGAGTCAGAGGAGAGACGTTTAATCTGATAAAAAGAGTTTCCATGAAGTCTTCCATCTTTGGGTCACATCCAGTCTGTCTGAGCCTCTGCTATGTTGCCTTTGGACATGTTGCCTCATCTCTATCACCTCCACTTCCTGTTACTGAGTCAACACTCATCTCTTTACTCTTTTGGTCATTTTGCTCACTCTTCACTGTGATTCATGCAACCAAGCAATGCCTCTGATCTCAATTCTTTATTTGTATCAGTGACATGACTGTTGGATCTGGATCATATTAGTCGTACTAATTTACAGTAATTTGAAACTTTTGTACTTTTTAAAATCCAATCCAGTAGGGAACAGGATGGACAACATGTGAGTTTTGTTAAAGCAGATTCAACGTTTCACCCGTCTCAAGGGGCAAGGAGATCAAGTGCTGCATTCCCTGTAAACATTCCCTGAGGACTAAACAGGATTCAAGGGTCTTCCGGACATGATGGTTTGTTTTCTTTCTAATTTTTCCCAATACATCTCAAGTGCTCAGACAGAAATAACTTG